CGCCGCGCGCACAGACGCCCGGGGACGCGGTGCGCGCGCCTCGGCCGCCAGTCGGTCGCCTTCAGCTGGAGCTGGAAGATCCGCGCCACGCCTCCCCCTGGCAGCCGGGCCTGGGAGCGGCGGAGCAGGAAGCCGGAGGAGAGAAAAGGTACCTGGGGAGACGCGCACCCAGACTCAAGGAAGGTTCCAGAAGGGAAAGCCAGCCGCGCCCAGTGCCGCTCACCTCTCGGTGATCTCGGTCCAAAGCGCCTAGTGTAGAGGCGCTGGCGAAAAACGAGCCTTAGGAGATCTGAACGCCTCAAACTGTCCTTGCCCTTCTCTCCGTCTCTCCCCACTCCCACCCCCAACCCGCCGCGGGCAGCATCTCCGCGCGCGTTGGTGCAGCCTTACCCTGGATGTCAGATGGCATCCCCAGGCTCCTGCAAGCGTGGTCTAGGGCTCCCGGAGGAAGCCTGGGCATCTGGATATTTACACTAAGTACTGTGAGCCGAGTCTCCAAGAGCAGATGCCACAGAACCAATGACCCCTGGGGTCACTGTGCTGGAAAAGTCTAAAAACAATCATTATTGCCTCTGGCAGCACTATGCAGCCATGAGCTATTTAAGGAAGGAGGAAAAACTAAAAGAGCCAGAGTCTCACTTGCAGAGTTCTGAGACATAATCTTGGTATTCTTTGCTTGTTTCATCCCGATAATTTCAATATATGGCCAGGATAGGGAACAGGTTTAGAATCATCTCTTTTTCAAGGCTTCCTAGCCTCCTGGTCTGGAAAAAGAAGTCCCCTACTCTATCACAGTCTCAACACCAAAAAACAAATGAACACACAAACTACTTTTTTTTTTCTTTTTCTGGTGGAGGTCCTGGCACTGCCCCTGAGCTGTTTTGCTCAAAGCTAGAACTCTACCACTTGAGCCACTGCTCCAATACTGGCTTTTTATGTGCTTAATTGGAGATTAGAGTCCTACAGACTTTCCTGCCTGGGCTGGCTTGTAATTGTGATCCTCAGATGTGAGCTAGGATAGCAGGTGTGAGCCACCGGGCCCAAAGATGAATTCCTTTTATAAAAGAAGTGCTCCCAACTGAAATCATTTTTAAAAGAGGATGGGACACATCCATTCCAGGGGACCACGCAGAGGCAGGCAGGCACAGGAGAAAGATTATTATAAGGTTTATTAGAGGAGCCATATTTTCCCCAAGAGGGAGCACATGGCCTCCCTCACCATCCAGGTAACAGGAGGGTCTGGGGGAGAGAAAGTGAGGTAAATGGGAATTCAGGTGGGTTTGGGGTAGAGAGGAGGGGCCGGCTGTATTGAGGGAACTCCAGGAATGGGGGGGGGGCAGGTCTGGGCAGAGCGAAGACCAGAGATGAGTATAACACTAACAATTTAAACCAGAACAAAGATTCACCTTGACAAAGATGACTAAGCTACTTCACTACCACCTGATCCTGAACTTTCTTTCTTTCTTTCTTTCTTTTTTGTAAAGTCAAACCTAAGAGCGCAATAATATACAGTTTCCAGTATTATGTGATTATTTTGCTTAGAATGTAAACATTTACTTGAAAATATATACTGTACATTCAAAATAAAAATGCATTGAAAATTGCTATAATGAGAATGTAATACCTAGACAAAATAAGTCATAATTTATAAAAATCTAAATGATCCCTTTGTTCTTCAGAAAATATATTATCCCATACAGTATTGATTGGAAATTATAGCAGTAGTGACAATGGGAACATATTACATGAACTTTCTTTTTCTTTTCTTTTTCTTATTAATAAGCTTTTTTTATTTTGAAAATACCGTGCAGAGGGGTTACAATTACATGAGCAAGGTAATAAGTACATATCTTTTCAAGCATTGTTGCCTCCTCCTTTGTTTTTCCCTTACCATTCCTGCCCTCACATCTCCACGACTATACTCTCCACCCCCATAAAAGAGATCCAAATAAGGAAGGAGGAAGTAAAATTCTCCCTCTTTGCAACTGACATGATCTTATATTTTAAAAATCCCACAGACTCCACTCCCAAATTACTCCAGCTGATTTGAACTTTGGCAAAGTAACAAGGTATAAAATTAGCCCTCAAAAATCAATGGCTTTTCTGTATGCCAACAATGGATGCAGCTGAAATCAGGAAAGCAAATGCATTCATAATAGCCCCACGAAAAATAAAATACCTAGGAATTAACCAAAGAAGTGAAGGACCTCTATGATGAAAACTTTAAAAACCTGAAAAAGGAAATAAAAACAGAACTTAGAAAGTGGAAAAACCTCCCATGATCCTGGATTGGAAGGATCAACATTGTGAAAATGGCAATACTTCCCAAGGCTATCTACAAAGCAATGTGATGCCTATCAATATTCCAACCTCATTCTTCCAAGAAATAGAAGGGGCAATCCAAAAATTCATATGGAACAATAAAAGACCCCAAATAGCAAAACAATCCTTAACAGAAAGAACAATGCTGGAGGAATATCAATGCCAAATTTCAAACTCTACTACAAAGCCATAGTAATCAAAACAGCTTGGTACTGGCACAAGAAGAGACCTCAGGACCAATGGAATAGAATTGAAAACCCAGAAATGATCCCACAGACCTATAGCCATCTAATCTTCGATAAGGGAGCTAAAAAAAATAGAATAGAAGAAAGACAGCCTCTTCAGTAAATGGTGCTGGCAAAATTGGTTAATCACTTGTAGAAAACTAAAGCTAGATCCTTATATATCACCCTGCATCAGAATCAACTCCAAATGGGCCAAAGATCTCAGAGTCAAAGCAGGCACCCTGGAAACATTACAGGATGGAATAGGAGAAACTCTAGGTCTCCTTGGCACAGGCCGAAATTTTCCTAATAGAGACCCAGAACCACAACAAATCAAAGGAAGGTTGGACAAATGGGATTGCAGGAAGCTGCAGAGCTTCTGCATGGCAAAGGACATAGCTAGCAAGATCAATAGAAAGCCCATGGATTGGAAGAAGATCTTTACTAGCCACACAACAGACAAGGGTGTCATATATAAAATATACCTGGAACTCAAAAAATTAAATCACCTAACAAGTCCTCAAAGAAACAACTGCCCAGTAAATAAGTGGGCTAAAGACTTAAAGAGAAACTCTGAAGAGGAAATAAGAATGGCCAATAGAAACATGAAGAAATGCTCAACCACTCTAGCCATAAAAGAAATGCAAATCAAGACAACACTGAGATACCACCTCACCCCAGTTATAATGGCTATAATCAAGAACTCTAATAACAACAGATGTTGGAGGGGATATTGGCCAGAAGGAAACCCTACTGCATTGTTGGTGGGAGTGTAAACTTGTTCAACCACTTTGGAAAGTAGTATGGAGGTTCCTCAAAAGACTCCACATAGAGCTCTCCTATGACCCAGCAATCCCACTTTTGGGCATTTACCCAAATGATCACAGACAAGACCATACTAAAGCTACCAGCACAACTATGTTTATTGCAGCATTATTTACCAAGCAAAGATTATGGAACCAACCCAGATGCCCCTCAGTAGATGAATGGATCAAGAAAATGTGGTATTCTATGCCTCCATCAGAAAGAATGACATTGCCCTATTCATTAGGAAATGGAAAGACTTGGAAAAAATTACATTAAGTGAAGTAACCCAGGCCCAGAAAAACATAGGTCCTATGGTTTCCCATATTTGCAATAACTAGTATATGTCTGAGACAAGCAGAAAAGATCAGATAAATTGATGTTAGGTGAAATGAACAAGTGATTTTTCTTTCTTGCTATTGTTTCTAACATATTTATAAGGTGATTTTTCTGTTGCTTTGTATGTCCCTCCCCCACAGTATAACCCCTGCTTTCACTGTATTTGATGTTGGTATAATTTGGGGAGGGGAAGGGAAAAAACAAATTGTTTAGATAGGGATACAGGTGGACCCATTGCAACAATGAGATGTACAAGTTGCTATGTTGAAAAAGAATTGAACTTTCTTTAATTGCATTGATAGTATCTTGGAGTCAAAACCTGTTAGCTAAATTAAGAGCTGACAAGACAGGAAGAAAAACAGCTAGGTATGGAGGCACAGAAGGGTGGCTAAGTCAAGGCCAGCCTGGGCTACAAAGCTCAAAGAAAGAAAGAAAAAAGAGCTGACAACATGACTTCTTTGGAGTAAGGTCTACTGTATTCCTAAATGATACTTTCATTGAATGTAACTTAAAAAATATTGCCTGTCTAGACACACAATCAGAAACTGGGACTGTGTTGGACATAGCCTTGGCTGTTTTCAATTCACTTTGATCCTCTGGTGCCCTTAATTTCCCCTTTATCTGTCCCACTAGACGTTCCATTCTTTAAAAAAAATATTATTTTACTTTTTTATTTTAAATTTGAATTAACATATAAATGTAATAGAAGGTTTCATTGTGATAGTTCACACAGTTCACTGTTAGAAATGGCTCCAGATGTTGTAAATAAGGAACTGGACAAGGCAAAATTGACTTCTTCAGATTTGCCATCAGTCAAAAATCTGGTAAGGAATCACACAGAGCAGGAAGGCTGCTCCTTTTTTGTCTCTAACCCAGCAGGCCCCACAGATGTGTTTTAATCTGATGCAACTAAATTTCAAGGAACTTCTAACAGATGTCTTAAAGTGCAGCAGGAAAAAGATGTAACTAAAATGTAATCAATAAGGGCCAAGCTATCAGGACAAAGCAGGAAATTTTCAAAAAAATAACTCTCAAAATATTGACTGAAAGAAAGCAACCTACTAACCTACTTTGATAGAAAAGATGCTTTTGCCCGCTATTGGTGGCTCATGCCTATAATCCTAGGTACTCAGGAGGCTGAGGTCTGAGGATTGCAGTTCAAAGCTAGCTTGGGCAGGAAAGTCCTTCAGACTCTTATCTCCAATTAACTTCCAAAAAAAAAAAAAGGCCAGAAATGGTGCTGTGGCTCAAAGTAGTACAGCACTATCCTTGAGTACAAAAGCTCAGGAACAGTGCCTAGCCCTTAGTTCATGCTTTAGGACCTGCAAAAAGAAGAAAAAAAATACTTTTTTTCACACTCACTTTGAACAAATTTTATTCTCTTCACCATATTCCCATTCCTCTCTTCTCTCCTTCCTCCTTTCTCAAGCATTGTTTAATGGGTTTTCATTAGGTGATATTCATAGATGTGTATGTAATGTCTTTTGATCCTCTTCACCCTTCAGTATGTTTTGCACTTTTAGACTGGTATACCAAAATTTCCATCTCATCTGCTTCTAAAGTCTTCATTTGATTCCAAAGTCTTCATTTATCAGCAACTGAC